AATAAGCACCCATTCTAGATAGTGGCCTCTAAAATACCATTTCCCACTGAGAAGAATTAGGGCTCCTTGGAGACGTGCTGATTCCACATCTGAGGCAGGAAATGTTGAAGATGAGTCTGGAACATCTTGTTATTTAGAAGGTAAGGAAGCTATCAAAGGCTTTTATAGTCATGTCAAAGAACTCAGAAGTTACTTTGAGAAGATTCCCATTGGCTAAAGGTGGGACAATTTCAACATCAATGAGAATGAGAATTGAAATGAATTAAACACATCAAATATACAGGCTGAGTATCCCTTATCCAAAATGCTTGGGACTATAAATGTTTCGGATTTTGTATTTTTTTTGGATTTTGGAATATTTGCATATATATAATGAGATATCTTAGGGATAGGACCCAAATCTGAACACAAAATTCATGTATGTTTCATATACAGCTATATACACAGTCTGAAGGTAATTTTACACAATATTTTAAGTAATTTTGTGCATGAAACAAAGTTTGTGTAGACTGAACTATCAGAAAGCAAAGGTGTCACTATCTCAGTCACCCATCTGGACAATCTGTGGTTGTTTGACATCACCATTATTCCTGACTCTGAATTTATATGCTACGGATAAGCAAACATTTTCTTACACTTGTTCACACATAAGTGCCTAACAATAAAAAATGTGACCCACCATTATTAATCCAGTGAAAACTAATGTGTTCAGGGTAACCAAATGGCACAGTAGCATCACCAGAACACCTGTGTCAACTGGTAAACAACAGTGACAGCCAACATGGCTGCTTTCAGTCTCCACTGTGTCCTGTCACATGTGGTCAGGTGTTGAATTTTCCACTTGTGGAATCATGTTGGTGCTCAAAAAGTTTCAGATTTTGGAATCTGGATTTTTGGATTAGGAATGCTCAACCACTATTGAAAATATTTTTTTTTGAGACAGGGTTTCGCTCCACTGAATGCAGTGGCACAGTCTTGACCTCCTGGGCTCAAACAATCCCCACACCTCAGACTCCAGAGTATCTGAGACTACAGGCGTGCATCACCATGCCTGGCTAATTTTGATTTTTTTTTTTGTGGAAATGGGTTTTCGCTATGTTGTTCAGGCTGGCCTTGAACTCCTGAGCTCAAGCAATCTGCCCGCCTTGGCCTCTCAAAGTGCAGGGACTATAGGCATAAGCTACCATGCCCGGCCTGCATTTAAATTCTTAAATTCTTTAAAACCCTCACAACTCTCACTTGTAGTCTTTGATGGATATGAGGGAACCAACTCATTATTCTGAAAATTGTTAAATAAAGGGAAAGAATTAAGCATGAATCCTGCCTTTCCCATATAAACTGTATTTTAGGGAGACCAAATATATGTTGAAGGGAAGTTTCTTTTTATAAAAGCATTTCAGCAAATATATGGATGACAGAATTAGAATATCACCATTTTGTAAACCTTAATTAATATATGTAAGTAATGATAATCAATAACTGCTAACAGCACATACACCACTTGCACATACACATATACACACACACACAACAACCCCAAATAAAAAAGACCACCAACACTAAATTTTGATGGAATGTGGAGCACCTAGGACTTTCATACATTGCTGTTGGAAATGAAAAATGATACAACCACTTTGAACTGTTTGACAGTCTCTTTTGAAGTTAAATAATAATTTTCATTTCCAAGTACTTACTGACAAGAAATTAAAATGCCCACAAAAGGGTGTGCATAAGAATGTTCAGGGCTGGGCATAGTGGCTCACACCTATAATACCAGTGCTTTGGGAGGCCAAGGTGGGAGGATCACTTGAAGAGAAGTTTGAGACCAGCTTGGACAATATAGAGAGACCCCTTCTCTACAAAAGTACTAAAAAATTCCAGCCTGGGCAACATAGTGAGACCCTGTCTGTACAAAAAAATTAAAAAATTTAGCCATGTGGGGCGTTTTGCACCTGTAGTCCCAGTTACTCTGGAGGCTGAGGTGGGAGAATCACTTGAGCCCAGGATGTCGAGGCTCAGTGAGTCAGGATGGCACCACTGCACTCTAGCCTGGGCAACAGAGTGAGACCTTGTCTCTAAAACAGAAAAACGAAAAGTTCACAGCAGCTTTATTCCCAAACTATTATTCCCAAACAGTTCCAAACTGGAAACACCCCAAATGTCTATGAAAAGGAGAATGGATAAACAAATTATGGTATATTCACATAATGGAATATTACTTAGCAATAAAAAATGATGAACTAGTGCATTAATATATGCAACAACATGGAGATACATTTAAAAAACATTTTGTTAAGTTAAAGAAACTGGACATAAAATACTACATACTGTATTATTTCATTCATAGGAAGTCCAAGAATAGGCAAAACTATCTGCTATGGGTTTTTTTTTTTTTTTTTTTTTTTTTAGTCAGAGTCTTACTCTGTTGCCCAGGCTGGAGTGCAGGGGGGTGCAATCTCAGCTCACTGCAACCTCCGCCTCCTGGGTTCAAGTGATTCCTGTGCCTCAGCCTCCTGAGTAGCTGGGACTAATGGTGTGTGCCACCATGCCTGGCTAATTTTTGTATTTTTATAGAGGCGGGGTTTCCTCATGTTGGCCAGGCTGGTCTTGAACTCCTGACCTCAAGTGATCCACTCTCTTTGGCCTCCCAGAGTGCTGGAATTACAGGCATGAGCCACCGTGCCTGGCCTGCTATGGTTTAAATGCCTATGTCTCTCCAAAATTTGTGTTGAAATTTAATCTCCATTGTGGTGTTATTAAGAGGTGGGGCCATTCGGTAAGTGGGTAAGTGCTCTGCCCTTGTGAATGGGATTAGTGCCCTTATAAAAGAGGCTTCAGGGAGCTGCCTGGTCCTTCTGTCTCTTCTGCCATGTGGGAACACAGTGCCTCTTCCACTATGTGAGGTTGCAGCAACAAAGCACTACTCTTGGAAGCAGAGACAAGCCCTTAGCAGATACTGAATCTGCTGGTGCTTTGATCTTGGACTTCCCAGCCTTTGGAACTGTGATAAATACGTTTCTATTATTTATAAATTACCCAGTCTAGGGTATTTTGTGATAGTGGCATAAAATAACTAAGACACTATCTGTGGTGATGGAAATGAGAAAATAGTTGGCTGGACAGGAACTGACTATAAAGACCCAGGAGAGAACTTTCCAGAATGAAGGAAATATTCTGTGTCTTGTTTTTGGAGGAAGCTACATGGGTGCACGCAATTGTGAAAACAAATTGAGCTGTTACTATCTGTGTATTTTAATTATAACTCAATTAAAAAGTGATAGATTTTATGTGCCTCCTGATGGGTGCACACAAAGTCACTTATGAAATACTACCAACATCTTTGAATCTGAATCTGATCAAGCTCCTAGATCTAAACATCAATTTACAGGAAATAGAGGGAATAAAAAAAAAACCTTATTTAATGACACCTTGGGGATGCGATCTGCAAAACTCAGACTGTGGGAATTATATTGTAGTACTTACACCAAGGTAGGGGCCCCTGTTCTGACCCTCCTCTGGCTGGACCCCTCTACTTAATATAGAATTAAACATTAATTTTAACCCCAAAGAAAAACACCATCAATACTTTTTTGTTTGTATCAACATATATTAATCATTAAAAAAGGAATCCTATTATGCATATTATTTTACAACTTGTTTTTTAAAAACAGTGCATCTTGGGGCATCCTCTTTTGTCAACATACAAGTCTACCTCATTCTTTTTAACATGGTATCAAATTGTATACGACAGTTTTTCTCAGCCTTTTAGACTTTTTTTTTTCTTTTTTGAGATGGAGTCTCACTTTGTCGCTCAGGCTGGAGTGCAATGGCATGATCTTGGCTCACTGCAACCTCCACCTCCCAGGTTCAAGCGATTCTCCTGCCTTAGCCTCTTGAGTAGCTGGGATTACAGGTGCCTGCCAGCATGCCCGGCTAATTTTTGTATTTTTAGTACAGATGGGGTTTCACCATCTTGGCCAGGCTGGTCTTGAACTCATGACCTCATGATCCACCCACCTCGGCCTTTCAAAGTGTTGGGATTACAGGTGTGAGCCACTGCACCCAGCATAGACATTTTTTCTTAATTATTACTGTCCCATGAAGTTTTAATACCACATATATACTATATATCTGTTTATATGCTTTACACATATCTATGATTTAGAAAAAAAAATTTCCCTCAAAAATCAATTTTCACCTCCTGGTTGCGATATTGCCCCTCTGTGAATGCATGATATAGGTATTCATATCCTATTTCATAAGTGTAGTACTTTTGATATTCCCATACTGCATTACCCATATTTATGCAGATATTTTGTTTCTGTAGGATATATTTCTAGAATTGAAAGGCTGTATTGAAAGTTATTAATATTTAATTGATATTGCTAAAGATTGTGCCAATTATATGCCAATCAACATATATTGAGAATCTGGCTTCAGTTTTTACACTTAAGTCACAAATCCATGTGAAATTTATTCTGGGAATAAGGTAAAGATCTAATTATCTTTCTCCTCTAAATCTAGTTCAATGTTTTCACTGGATTCATCTTTTTTTGATTTACCACATATTAAATTTGGTAAGTGCTCTTAGATATATTCAGGCTTTGAATTCTGTTCCACGACTGTTTGTTTATTCCATTACCATGCTATGTTTATTATTCTTGTTTTACACTTTATTATAATACAATTCCCCTTTATGAATTCTATTTTCTTGTTTTTTTTTTCATGTTTTCTCTCAATGAATTTTGGAGTAATTCTGTTTAGTCCCAAACAAGCAAACAAACAACAAAAACAGGCTCTTAAAATACTTTTGGGATTAATATTGGAATTTTACCAAATTTGTGAATTAACTTAGTGAGGCTGTAGAATGCTGAGTACATTACAGAGTTACATTTAAAATAAGACAGAGAAAAAAAGAAATAATGTTGATTTAATGATGTATACTTCTATATTAGAATACTTTGAGCTGTAAATGACAAAAATCCAGGTAAAACCCAAGGTTAAGTATAAAAGAGAGTTTATTGGCTCATTTAACAGATAAGTCCAGTGGTAAAACTAGTCTTCAGGCATGTCCGGATCTCTGGGTTCAAACAATGTCATCAGGATTTGGTCTCTCTGTCTTCCAGCTCAGCTTCCTTAGCCTCAATATTAGACAAACCTCCATGTGGTAGCAAAGGTGGCCTGTCTGCTCTGTGTCTGTATGGTCTTTAGCACCTGCAGTATAACATCAGAGGGAGAGAAGCTTTTTTTTTTTAAAATGGTGTCAGCGGGCCGGGTGCGGTAGCTCACGCCTGTAATCCCAGCACTTTGGGAGGCTGAGGTGGGTGGATCACCTGAGGTCGGGAGTTCCAGACCAGCCTGACCAACATGGATTAACCCCGTCTTTACTAAAAATAAAAAATTAGCTGGGTGTGGTGGCACATGCCTATAATCTCAGCTACTTGGGAGGCTGAGGCAGGAGAATCACTTGAACCTGGGAGGCGGAGGTTGCGGTGACTGAGATTGCGGTGAGCCGAGATTGCGCCATTGCACTCCAGCCTCGGCAACAAGAGTGAAACTCCGTCTCAAACAAAACAAAACAAAACAAAACAAAAATTAAATAAATAGTGCCAGCAAAAGTACCAATGATGTTTCTCATTGGTCAGGTCTGAATCAAGTGTAGGAATGGGGGCAGGGTGGGTAGTTGGGAATCAGTCCCACTTGAACCAGCTAAGGCTGGTGAGTGGTGGTTTCCTGAAAGGGACATGGAGCAACCAAAAAATCAGGAATTATACACCATAATACCTATTTATTTATTTATTATACATCATAATACCTATTTATTTATTTATTAGATGGAGTCTCGCTCTGTCGCCCAGGCTGGAGTACAGAGGTGCGATCTTGGCTTACTGCAACCTCTGCCTCCTGGGTTCAAGCAATTCTCCTGCCTCAGCCTCCTGAGTAGCTGAGATTACAGGCGCCCATCATCACACTCAGCTAATTTTTGTATTTTTAGTAGAGACAGGGTTTTACCATGTTGGCCAGGCTGGTCTTGAACTCCTGACCTAAGCTGATCTGCCTGCCTTGGCCTGCCAAAGTGCTGGGATTACAGGTGTGAGCCACCACGGCCTGCTGATAATACCTGTTTAGAAAAAGAGGATTTAAAAGCAACATTAGGAAATATTACTAAGTTGAAGTTCTAATACTATTTTTTAGATTATGAATTTATTTTAGGGCTAAAGGTGAAAAGAAACCAGGCCACTGGGCAGGAAAACATGATGATAGACATTAAAAAGTTACTTGTAATTGAACAATATTTGTTAGAATTATAATGCTTATTCTTGATGTTACTCTTCCTTCATTTCTTGATCTCATTACTAGATTCTCCAAAACCTTGCTTCATAAATTTGTCCTGTTTTGCAGCTTAATCTTGCCTATTTTTTCCCCCTGCTCCTAAGGAACCCAATTCCCTACCTCCCTAAACAAATCAACAAGCCTCTCAATTCTACTGCTTTTTAAAGCTCCTCTTCTTATACTCATTGGCCAGTTGTTTAAAGTCATCAGTGATTTCCTTAATCATCAAATCCAATGGCCTTTACCCTCCTTGATGGCTTGCTGTCTCTGTAGTATTTGACAATATTGACTGAACGTTCCTTCTTGAAACCTGGAATCTTAGTTCCTGTGAAACCCACTCTCCTGATGTTTCTCTTAGCTTTCTGATGACTTTTTCTCTGTTTACTTTGTTGGTTTTTCTTCCTCACCTTCTTTATATGTGGGTGATTCTCAAGGTTCTGGCTTCAAACTGTTTCACTATTCACTCTTTTTTTTTTGGCAGTTTCAAATACTTACTTTCAAAAGAAGGGTATACATCTTCTTCTTCTTCTTTTTTTTTTTTTTTAGATGGAGTCTTACTCTGCCCCCCAGGCTGGAGGGCAGTGGCTGCTTCCCCTGCTCAAGTGATTCTCTTGCCTCAGCCTCCCATGTAGCTGGGATTACAGGTGTGCACCACCACACCCGGCTAATTTTTGTATTTTTGGTACAGACGGAGTTTTGTCATGTTGGCCAGGCTGGTCTCGAATTCCTGACCTCAAGTGATCCATGTACCTCAGCCTCCCAAAGTGCTGGGATTACAGGTGTGAGCCACCGCACCCGGCCTACATCTTCTATTTAACTGCTTCTGACCAGTTCCTCTCCTAACACCTGTGTGATCTAATCTTAACTTGCCACTATCTAGAAAGATGGAGCTTAACTTCTTAACTTCCTCTAAAAAGATCTTTCCCTTCTGAATCCCATGGTACTTTTTTGTTTTTAAATGGCACTACTTTAAAACTTGCATTAGCTGCTTATGTGTAAGACTTGTCTTACTTTCTGACCTATAAACTCGCTTTTTCTTTCTTTTTTTTTTTTTTTAAGGAGATGGGGCCCCTGCTCTATAAACTTCTTTAAGAAGATTTTCTTCTTTTAAAACTTTTATTTTAGGTTTGGGGGTACGCATGAAGGTTTGTTGTAAAGATTATTTCATCACCCACGTATTAAGCCTAGTACCCCATATTTTTTCTGCTCCTCTCCATGCTCCCACCCTCCACCCTCAAGTAGACCCCAGTGTTTCTTGTTCCCTTAAGATTTTCTAATTCAACTCTGCATCTTCTATACTGTAAAGCATTGTGTTTTGTATTTTTTCATTTGTTTATTCAACATACATAAGCACTGACTCTGTATTGTGCTAGGAGCTGGGTAAGTGGTTAAAAAAAACCGTGGTTTCTGCCCTCAGACAGTTTAGAGTCTCATGAAAATACATATTGTGATATATAATTAATAAAACTTTATTGAAAGAATGAATCTTACATCTTAAACTCCTTTTTCATCTTCTTTCCCCAAACTCCTGACCTACATTCCTGCACCCTTTTCCCTGATAAATCCCACAGATTTCTCAAACCCAACAGCTGAACTGGATTCATGTGCTATGGATACATATGAATAAGTTTGCCCCATGTTCAAGAAACTCACAATCAAGCACCTTCTCTCCCCAAACCTTCTGCTGATTTTAGTATCAATGTTACTACCTCCTCCTTATTACCAAGGGGAAATCTTGGTATTCTTTTTGACTTCTTCCTCTTTTTTCATACTTAATTCTTTAATTCAAACAATTATCCCTCTTGTTGAGGTCCTTTCACCTATAGCAGAGGTTGAAAATTAGTGACTCATGAATTGTATCTAGCCAGTAGAGGTGTTTTGTTTTGTATAATATTATCGCAAATATGATTTTTCTGTTTCTCCTGAAAAATCAGAATATCTGGCAACACTGAATCCTTATTCTTGCAAGAACTGGCTGGAGTTTTAGATGGGACAGCTCAATCAAGTCTACCATTCTAATCTCTATCACTCCTTGCTTTTGTCACATTCAGTCCATTTCCTCACTTATGAAACTTTCTTAGTCCCTAATTTAGGCATTTGAGTTTGCCATCTCTGGCCTGTGTGATCATAGACTGTCAGTGGTGGAAGAGATATTAAAAGATCAACTCGTCTAACGGTCTTCTTCTTCCTCTCCCCACTCTTTAAGAGATGGAGAAAAGAGGTCTAAAGAGCTTACATTACCCAATCAATTTCATACAGCTAATGTGTAACAGGATTCTATAATATGCCATTAGACCCCCCCATATGGATCATGTGAAAGTTATAACTATATTTTTCCTTTGGTTTAGTTGCTAGGAACCTCAGAGCCCAATCTGTGGCACCCCTCTAGTAATTACATGGACCTTTTGGTATGAAGTTTTGGGGTATTAACATACTCCTGGCTTTATTTTGTTTTCCATTTACCTTTGCCTCAGTTTCTCTTCCAATCATTTTCTCCTATGATAGTGTGTAGTTTTTCCCCAAGCATACTCAATCTTTTGTGAAAAAGGTGGAACATCAATACAGGTGTAAACTGTCCGGCTGTATTGTCTGGCTCCCAATTTCTTTCTTTCGCCTGTCATTCTCCTTCGGCTACTCACATTCTCTATTTTCCTTGACAGCCAAACTTCTTGAAAGAATTGTCTTCACATGCTGTGTCCACTTCATCCTGTCTTCTCAATTCACTGTAAACAGATTTAAAGTCTTCAATGCCTTCTTTGTTGCTATGATATTGATACCAAAATTATATTGTATTCGCTCATATATGCAGGACACAAAATGGTTTCCCTAAATTATCTCAACTATGAAAAAATATGCAGAAAAAAATTAATAGGTAATGCATGAAAATTTTGTTACTTCTGATGACTGGTGAGATTTATTTTCTTTTAAAAAGTTTTACACAATTTTAAAAACAAGCGCATTAGAACACATCTCGATGTAAATTAGAAATTCTCAACTTACATTTTCTAAAAGGAGGCAGAAAACTAGAGAAGCGACAATGAGGAGCCACTGGGCCACACTTCATTTCACCTTAAGACAGACTCAGAGAAAAACAAAGAGGGTGCGACTCAGATCCCCGGGGCCAGCGGCTGGGCCAAGGGGCACGACTGGATAACCTATTGTGAGGAAAATCTTGAGAGAGCCCTCACGACCCTTTAGCACATCCTAAAAGACCTCTGAACTTCTCTGCCTCTCCCGCTAACGGCTGCAAACCGCAGATAACGGTCAATCGCCTCCGGTTGTCCTGGTAACAGCCAGCAACAACAATCCCGCCTTCCTAACTCCTCCCAGAATACTGTGCGTCTTCTGCTTCACTTCCAGGTCCGGAGGACCGACTTCTTCCGGAAGTATCTGCCTGCCAGTCACCTGGCGTGTTCTGGCTGGGTGGCTTTGGTAGACAGAGTGTGGCGTATCGTTGGGCAGGGTCCTGGGGACCCTTTTGTTCTTTTCGCCGTTTAACGGGACTGGAAAGCTAAGCAAAGGCTTTACTCTCAGGGAATTTATTGTTGGTCGTTGATAGATGAATTGGACGTTAGTTTTTAAAATGTTTTGGTGGGGTTGGCAAATTTTGATTGCTGAGTGACAGTGGTGGGTAAAATTCATCTTAGAATTGTAGCAGGCTGTCTTAGTAGCCTTTAGATTAAATTGGTTTTAAGTGTTAGCAGGCAGTTTCAGCAGCCAGGCCTGTAGAGAATTATATTTTTCAAGTGATATTTGTGACCTGAATGTTTTCTCCCTCTGGCCTCTCCACTTTTTAATAGGTATGACAAAAATGGCCCAATTTATATGATCAACTTTCACAGCTGAAAGGTGGTAAACTCTTTACAATTATATGTAATTTATTTTTTACTGTGATAGATTTATAAAATTGTAAATAATTTAGTTCCCATGAAAAAGCAATTATTTTTGCTTTAGAAAATGAAGGCTGAAAAAACCCCCAAAACACAAAACCTCCAAATCCTACCCATTTAAAGACAACCAGTGTGAATACTTTGTAGGAATCTTCCAGACCCTTTCTATGAATTATAGTAAGTACAAATTCAAAATGGAATCATACTGTATATGCTACTTTGGAACTTAAAAAACTTTTTTTTTTTTTCCAGACAAAGTTTCACTGTGTTGCCCAGGCTGGAGTGTAGTGGCCTGATCTTGGCTTACAGCAGCCTCTCCACCTCCTGGGCTCAAGCAATTCTCCTGCCTCACTCTCCTGAGTAGCTGGGATTATAGGCGGTGCCACCACACTCAGCTAATTTTTCTATTTTTAGTAGAGATGAGGTTTCACCATGTTGGTCAGGCTAGTCTCAAACTCCTGATCCCAAGTGATCTGCCCGCCTCAGTCTCCCAAAGTGCTGAGATTACAGGCATGAGCCACCTGTGCCCGGCCTGAAATTTTTTTTTTTTTCCCGAGCTGCTGTCTCGCTCTGTCGCCCAGGCTGGAGTGCAGTGGCACAATCCCAGCTCACTGAGGCAGGAGAATCACTTGAACCTGGGAGGCGGAGGTTGCAGTGAGCCGGGATGGCGCCACTGCACTCCAGCCTGGGCAACAGAGCAAGACTCCGGCTCCAAAAAACCCAAAAAATTTTAATGAACATATTTTGTTTAAAAGAGACACTTAACGTGGTCATATATGTTCCATTTTACCTCTTGTTGGATATTTAAACAATTGATGTCTTTCCCCACTCCTTTTTTTTTTTTTTTTTTTTTTGAGGAGGAGGAGGTGTCTTGCTGTATCACACAGGCTGGTCTTGAACTTCTGGGCTCAGGCAGTCCTCCTGCCTCAGCCTCCCAAATAGCTATGATTACATGCCACTGGCCTGGCCATTTTTGCTCTCAATTAGTGCTACAATGGAGAAATGAAAATCCTTATAGCTAAATCTTTGCCCTTGCTCTAATTTCTTTGTGGTAATTCTTTTTCTTTTTAAAACTCATTTGTATTTGCACTTCATTATCTCTTCCTTAATGCCTTTTTATTCCATACTTTATACTGTATACAGATGAAGTTACACATGACATCCAAAGCCCACTTTATTTTTTAAAGTTGATTTTTCTGATTATAAAGGTAATATATGCTTATTGAGGAACATTAGAAAATTTCAGAAGAATGTAACGAGAAAATTCCAATACCTAGACCGCCATTGATACTGTGATATGATTTTTTTCCCCTCTGTTTCTTCAACAATCAGTATTGAAAGAGTGTTAGCTGATTTAGTAAGGAAATGTTGCAGCTTTTGGTTTGTACTTTTTTACTTATTCCTGTAGCTGAAGGGTGTTGCAAATAGTATCCAGAAATAAAGCCACATACCTACAACCAACTGATCTTAGACAATGACAACAAAAATAAATAATGAGAAAAAGACACTCTTTAATAAATGGTGCTAGACAAAGTGGATAGACATGCAGAGGAAGAAATTGGACCGCTTTCTTTCACCATATACCAAACTTAACTCAAAATGGATTAGAGTTAAATTTAAGACCTGAAACAATAAAAACCCTAGAAGGAAACCTAGGGAAAAGGTCTTGTGGACACTGACCTAGGCAAAGAATTTATGAGCAAGTCTTCAAAAGCAATGCAACAAAAACAAAAACAGACAAATGAGTTTCATTGTGCTAAAAAGCTTCTGCATAGTAAGATAAATAAATAATCAAATAACCTACAGAATGGACGAACATATTTACAAACTATGCATTCAACAAAGGACTAATATCCAGAATCTACAAGGAACTCAACCAGAAAAAACCAAATAATCCTATTCAAAAGTAGGCAAAGGACAGGAATAGACATTTCTCAAAAGAAGACATACAAGTGGCTAATAAACATGATAAAATTCTCAGCATCACTAATCATTAGAGAAATGCAGATTAAAACCACGGTGAGATACCATCTCGCACCAGTCTGAATGACTATTATTAAAAAGTCAAAAAAACCTGATATTGATGAGAATTCAGAAAAAAGGGATTGCTTATACACTGTTGGTGGGAATGTAAATTAGTACAACCTCTGTGGAAACTCGTATGGAGATTTCTCAACTAAAAATAGAACTACCATTTGACCCACCCAGCAATCTCACTACTGACTACCCAAGGGAAAACAAATTATCACTGGGTGTGGTGGCTCGTGCTTGTAATCCTAGAGCTTTGGGAGGCTGAGGCAGGAGGATCACTTGATGACAGGAGTTTGAGACCAGCCTGAGCAATATAGCAAAAAACCTCCATCTCTGCAAAAAATTAAAAAGTTAACCAGACATGATGGTGCATACCAGTGGTTCTAGCTACTCGAGAGACTGAGGTGGTAGGGTTGCTTGAGCCCAAGAGTTCAAGGCTGTGGTGAGCTATGATTACACCACTGCACACCAGCCTGGGTGACAGAGCAAGAACCTGTCTCTGAAAAAGAAAAAAAAAAAAAAAAGAAATTGTATGACAAAAAGACAAAGACATAGAACCAACCATCAACCTAAGTGTCCACCAACAGATGGTTAAATAAAATGTGGTATGCATACACCGTGGAATACTATGCAGCCATAAAAATAATGAAATGTATTTTGCAGCAACATGGATGGAGCTGGGGGCCATTATCCTAAGTGAAATAACTCAGAAGCAGAAAATCAAATACCACATGTTCTCACTTATAAGTGGAAGCTAAAGATTGGGTGCACGTGGACATACAGAGGGGAATAATAGACACTGGGGATTCCAAAAGTGGGGAGAGTGGGAGGGAAAGGGTGAGGGTTGAAAAATTAACTATTGGTTACAATGCTGACTGTTTGGGTGATGGGTACACTAGAAGCCCAGACCTCACCACTACATAATATATCTGAATAATAAACCTACACATAAACCACCTGAATCTATGTATAAAAAAAGAAACCATGAAAAAAAATCCAAATAGTATTTCAAATGTGTGTAGGCTATGGTCCATTTCTAGGCATATCTAGCCTTCCTTCAGTATTCCACACTAATCACACTGAATTGTAATGGCTTAGTTTTCCATATGTGTATGTTTTAGTTCTATAACTGGATTGAAAGCTAGTTGTGTGGTCCTAGATAAATTATTGAATTTTGCTGAGCCCACTTTCTTTATCTGCAAATTAGAGATAATACTTTGCAGGGTTGTAGTGAGGATTAGAAATAATGTATCCAAGGTGAGTTTAATTAAAAAGTAGTTACTTTGTTTTTGACTTCTGGCTTTAGCAGTTTATGTACATAGGAGGTGTTTGTATTTTTATAATATTCCAAATGAATGACTATACTAGCATCCCACCCAGTTTAGATATTTACTGAGCATATATGACACATAAAGCACTGTTCATAACTGTAAAGGCCTGGTGAGCCTATATTATTCAGATATGTTTCTTACATAAACCACATGCTGCTTTTCATCTTTAGCAATTTTCTTAGTCATCTGTTTCCTCAGTCTCTTAACACCTTGCCTGACCCATTAGTAGGTGCTGAATAAATGTGTGAGCTGAGTGGAATAATTTAGTAGGAAAAGAGAAACACAAATTGGATAAAACCTGGCAGGCCACGATGAAAATGATTAACAGGTATAAAGTACTTTGTACATTGGGAGATCAGGAGACATTAATTTTGATTAAGGTATCTGGGAATGCCCTGTGGAGTAGGCAGATTTGACCTGGGCCCCAGTAATAGGGGCTGAGGCAAGGAGCTTAAAGATGGAAATAACAATGTGAGTTAAGGCTGAGAGGTAGAAGTAAACACGGTGCGCTTTGTTATCAGGGAGTTATTGGTCGGGGGGAGTGCAGAAGAGTAGGGTAAGTGAATGGGTACAGATGGGAAGAAAAAATGTCGTTGATCCTACATTTTGAGGATTTTGATGTGACTCGTCACTCTTTATAGTTTTAAAATGTTTCTGAAAAATACTGCTTTCAATATGGCCTGAGACATCCTTGGGCTGAGTGGATCTGAGGGATGGCAGGGGTCGGGAAAGTGGCGGGCCAGCGATGACAACTAGCCTGTCCCTGAAGAAGGCCGGGAGTGGCAGGATGGCCGAGACCTTCGGCAGCACAAGAGCACTTAGTGGCCAGTATTTGCCCCGAGGTGAGGAAGGAGTGTCTGCGAGGAGGCGGGACACCCTTAGCAACTCAGCAGGCAGCAGGAAGCGGCAGAACAACGCTTGTAAAGGCCTGTCACCCACACTGGGTGGGCAGCAGCGAAGTCCTCGGCAGCCCGGGTGTTGCCTTTGAGGGAAGTCGCAAGACGCAGCTCCGCCCAACAGCATCTGTCCCCGCCCCCCTCTCCCCGCCCCTCCCCCTACCCCCTCTCCCCGCCCCTCCCCCTACCCCCTCTCCCCGCCCCTCCCCCTACCCCCTCGCCCCGCCCCTCGCCCCTCGCCCCGCCCCTCGCCCCTCTCCCCGCCCCTCGCCCCTCTCCCCGCCCCTCGCCACTCGCCCTGTGCCCCGTGCTCCCGGTCTGGTTCAAAGCTCCCTCCCGCCTAACGTCTTCAGCCCAGCCTGGCTGCCCTTCTTCCCTGCGGAGGGAGGGCCTGGGCGGTCGGGTTGGCGGGAGGGAGGTTACCTTTCCCGGTCTCGCTCCGGCCGCCCGAGCCGGAGAGAAGCAGCGGCGAGGTCTGCGGGCAGCATGGCGGGAGCTCCGTACGAGCGCGGGAGGGGCCCCGCGGCAGGGGAACAGCTGCAGCAGCAACACGTCTCTTGCCAGGTCTTCCCCGAGCGTGTGGCCCAGGGGAATCCCCAGCAAGGGTTCTTCTCCAGCTTCTTCACCAGCAACCAGAAGTGCCAGCTTAGGCTCCTGAAGACGCTGGAGACAAGTAGGAGCCATGACCTGGAGGCTGGGGTTCGGCCGAATGGGTCTGAGACCGGGTGGGCGAGGAAGGGCCTGGGCAACACCTGGCCAGCGGCTGCAGTTTCAGCCTCGGGGCTGAGTGAACCAGGTTCAGCACAGAGTGTAGGCAGACAGGGCATCATGGGGGCTGGGTTGGGCGCCTGGGGCTCAGTTTTCCCACCAGAGGAGGCGCTGAGACCCTTTTCGTCGCTGTTTTTGGCTTGGGGAATGAGTTTGTCTGCCCTTTTTTGTCACTCACTGTTGTGACACATCCTCCGATTTCTTACATAAGTTATGCAGCCACATTGTGACTTCAGGGTAAGGGTGAGGCCGAGTTTTAAAGAGCCATCGAGGTTAATTAAGGCATACAAAGTCTGTAAAAATGTAATTAAAACATACAAAGGCTGTAAAAATGTAAAAATAGTTTTGCAAACCTATTCTTCCTTGGAAGGGGTTCTTAGCCTTCATGCATGAATGGGCTTCAGAGCGTAGAAATCCCTGAAATGGTCTGTGAAATCGTGCGTGTGTGTGTGTGTGTGTGTGTGTGTGTGTGTGTGTGTGTGTGTGTGTGTATGTGCCTAAGTGCATTTCTTTTTCTTTCTTTTTTTTTTTCGAGACGAGTCTTGCTCTGTCGCCCAGGCTGGAGTGCAGTGGCGCGATCTCGGCTCACTGCAAGCTCCGCCTCCCAGGTTCACACCATTCTCCTGCCTCAGCCTCCTGAGTAGCTGGGACTACAGGAGCTCGCCACCACGCCCTGCTAATTTTTTGTATTTTTAGTAGAGCCGGGGTTTCACCGTGTTAGCCAAGATGATCTCGATCTCCTGACCTCGTGATCCATCCGCCTTGGCCTCCCAAAGTGCGGGATTACAGGCGTGAGTCACTGCCACTGCGACCAGCCCTAAGTACATTTTTTTTTTTGGTGGGAGAGAGAGTTTATAGCTTCATTATAATCTCATAGAGGCCAACGACCACACAAAGGTTAAGAACTGCTGTGGGTTAAACGGGAACACAACTGCCCATTGACAAATTTCTCTCCAGTAGCAGAGACATTGCACTAGAGAAGATTTCTTAATTCCTTTACATTGACATAGACTTAGTGTACTTTCAGATACATTTGGAAAATTAGTCTTAAACGTACTTGTCCCAAAGCAAGGTTACTATTTTATAGTTGGTCAGTCACAGTTCAAAAGTCAACCACGGAAAGATTTTCCAACCTTCTTGGGATTACCTGCTTGTAGAGACTCAGGGAGGTAGGAGGGGGAAGGGGAGGCCAGGGTAAAAGGGGAGAGAATGATGATATTGTATTTACTATACAAATATGTATTGAGTGCCTCCCAGGTTTTGGTGGGGGAAGTAGAAAGATAGCACCTTGCCTGGAAGGTGCTTCAAAGTGGAATAGAGTGGAAGGAGTGTGGGTTGCAGAGTTAGATGTGGGTTCAAATGCGGATCCCTTTCCTCAGATGTGGAAGAGTGACTTAACTTCTCTGATCCTCATTATTCTTATTGTAAAAAAAGAGAAGGGGAAAAATACCTCTTTTAGGGTTGTTGTGAAAAATAGATTTTATGGGGCTGGGTACGGTGGCTCATGCCTGTAATCTCAGCACTTTGGGGAGCCAAGGCAGGGGGATCGCTTGAACTCAGATGTTTAAGACCAGCCTGGGCAATATAGGGAGACCCTGTCTCTACAACAAATAAAAAAATTAGCTGATGTGGTGGCTCGTGCCTGTAGTCCCAGCTATTTAGGAGGCTGAGGCAGGAGATTTGCTTGAACCCAGGAGGCTGAGGCTGCAGTGAGCTATGATTGCATCACTGCACTCCAACCTGGGCAACAGAGCAAGACCCTGTCTAAAAAAAAAAAGTATTGATTTTATGAATGTAAAGTACCAGCATATCAGGAGCTGAGCTGAATAAATGGTAGCTGTTTTTATAGTGGAAGGGCCACACAGTGGAGGAAGAGTAGAAATAGATAGGATGTGAGGAAGGTGGGGTGCTGAACATGAGCCCCAGTAGGAATCAATGGACTTCAATCTTCCAAGGGCAGGGTGGCTGGGAGGGCCTGTTGGTGGTATTAAAGTGTCAACCTGCAGCTTTAAAATCCTGTCCCTGCGTGGGGCATGGTGGCGGAAACCAGTCCTCATGGGAGACTTTTTTTTTTTTTTCACCAAAACAATTTTATTCTAAATATTGCTGCAGGTCCTTTTTGAAGTACTAAACCAAGGTGCTGCCTGCATTTGTTTTTTTTTTTTTTAAGTATGAGGACTACAGACTTTTGAAACTGTTTTAACTTTGTAAAATTCTCCTAGTTGCATGAATAATAATGTGCTTAATATGGTACCTGCTACCTGGTATTCACTCAATTAATAATACTTATTGTTAACAATAATTATTCTACTGTGAACACTCTTGCAAGGGGCAGGTTGGTAAAGCAGTAACCTATACCTGACTTCCTCATCTCACATTTCTTTCGCCTATTTTTGTCTTCAACCTTTTTTTTAAACATTAGTTTCTTTTTCACTTTTTTTGGGTTACGTCATATAATTGGCTGTGCATTTATACTCTCAGACAAGATGCTTATGGGAAAAGTTAATATCAGAGGCATTTGGGTTCCTTGTACTTTCCTGTAGTAGTCACGGGCCCATAGAGTCTTAGATGTGGAAGGGCCCTGAGGAATCGTCTAGGCCTCCCTGTCCCCTTACAAGGAAACCTCTGTGCCATTGCTGGCCAGATACTCCACAGACCTCTACTGGAACACAGTTACCTGTTCCCTGAGGCTCTTTCAATCTACTGTCTATTGTTTCACCAGCTTTAATTGTTGGAGAAAAATCCTTTCTCTTACTGAGCTGAAATCTGCTGCGTGTAACTTCCATACTTTGGTCCTTGTTCTGCCCTTTGAAGAAATATTAACTGAATCTAGTCCCACATGGCACCCCTTCAATACTTGAAGCTACTGTGGTCCTAGTTAAGTCTTCTGTCTCCTTTCCAACCCCCTAAATCCTTTCTTGCTTCTTACTGGGAAGTAGTCCTGTAGTACCCTAGTCACTATCCCCTGTGGAAGAGCTTCAGTGGCAGGTCCCGTTTAGAACGTGGTAGTACTCAGCATGGGACATGGTGTTGCCAGTATGGTCTGACCAGGACAGAACAGTGTGGCTACTGGCTTCCCCAAATCTAGGTACTGTGCTGTTGTTCACTTTTTTTTTTTTTTTTTTTGAGACGGAGTCTTGCTCTGTCGCCCAGGCTGGAGTGCAGTGGTGTGATCTGGGCTCACCGCAAGCTCCGTCTCCCGGGTTCACACCATTCTTCTGCCTCAGCCTCCTGAGTAGCTGGGACTACAGGCGCCCGCCACCACGCCCGGCTAATTTTTTGTATTTTGGTAGAGACAGGGTTTCACTGTGTTAGCCAGGATGGTCTCAATCTCCTGACCTCGTGATCCGCCTGCCTCGGCCTTGCAAAGTGCTGGGATTACAGGCGTGAGCCACCGCGTCCAGCACTGTTGTTCACTTCTAAGGAATGTGGCCGTAGATTCCCTCAGTCTTTTGGTATATATCGTAATACAACGTGTTTGATCATTTAACTAAACATGAACTTTAAAAGCATAGTTGATACTGTCTAAGATGCTTAGTAGTACCATCTTTGTATTTGTGTTAGTGTTTTTTTTCAGTACAAACTTGCTTTGATGTTAATTTAAACTTGGCCTCTCATGTCAATTTTTACCAATTTTAAGATAAGATTACTTTTTTTTGAGACAGTCACTCTGTCTTCCAGGCTGGAGTGCAGTGGTGTGATCTCAGCTCACTGTAACGTCTGTCTCCCTGGTTCAAGCGATTCTCATGCCTCAGCTTCCCAAGTAGCTGAGACTACAGGCATGTGCCACCATGCCCAGCTAATTTTTGTATTTTTAGTAGAGATGGGGTTTTGCCATGTTGGTCAGGCTGGGCTTGAACTCCTGGCCTCAAATGATCCACCTGCCTCAACCTCCTAAAGTGCTGGGATTACAGGCATGAGCCACTGCATCTGGCCTGTGAGTTACTTTTTGATAATATCTTACACTGCTATTTGGGTAGTTTAATTGGTGCTACTTTTCCAATTAGCTTACTTAATTAAATCAATATCTTTTTTAGATCCGTATGTCAAACTTCTGCTTGATGCTATGAAACACTCAGGTTGGTAAGTAACTCTTTTTGAACTGCTGCTCTGAGATCTGGCTGCTGAAAACAAAAACCAAGTTCTCTTCTTAAGAGAGCTGCTTAGGATTTCTCTGAGGTCACGAAGTCTTTTCCATAGGGTAAATAGAGGTAATTGGCTGCATTGTTTCCAGGTAGGCCTTGTTCTCTTTGGACATCTTCTGCCCTAACTAATGTTCTTTTTTTTTTTTTTGAGACAGAGTCTCGCTCTTGTTGTCCAGGCGGGAGTGGGCAGTGGCGCTGTCTTGGCTCACTGCAACCTCCCTCTCCCAGGTTCAAGCAATTCTTCTGCCTCAGCCTCCCGAGTAGCTGGGTTTACAGGCGCACATCACCATGCCCGGCTAATTTTTGTATTTTTAGTAGAAATGGGGTCTCACCACATTGACCAGACTGGTCTCAAGCTCCTGTCCGCAAGTGATCCACCAACCTTGGCCTCCCAAAGTGCTGGGATTACAGGCGTGAGCCACTGCTCCAGCCCAGCTCATTTTCTAGCTCTTACCATTCACCTTGGGTGATTAGTAAAGACAGTACTCAAATTTTTCTTGTAAGTAATTACCAATCCTGGCCTTTCTGCTACACCAGCCTGAGCATTGTTTTTAATGGAAAAGAACTCTCAGCTTGTTATCTAGGAACCTTGCAGATGTTGTATAACTTTGAGGGGTTTAAAGGAAGTGACTTCTGACATCTAGTTCTTAA